CGGTGCGACCGGCCGGTCCTCCCCGTCCTCCTCGGGAGGTGACGCCGGCTTTGCTCCGCGGATTCGCGTTCCTTGTTCCCGGGGGAGGGTGGGTCTCCCGAGTCTGTCTCCTTTGCTGTCGGTGCGGTTTTAAGAGTGAGCGTACTGGAAATAACTGCTGAAGTCCAAATTTTGCAGATCCCTGGAAATGGACAGGGTAGTTTCATGTTTGTTACACAAAGTGCCCAAATTCTAGAAGTGGGCAGAGCACTTTGCTTTTTGCTGTGTGCTAGGCTGTTTTGAAGAGCAGAGATGCTTTCCGGTCCGGATGGCACCCGTGAAGACCTGTCTGAAGATCCTTCTGCAGGTTTGGTGGGAGGCGAGACTGGGACGTCAGCCCTCCGGCCGCGTGTTCTGACAGCAGCTCTGCCTTTGTGCTCTGCAAATCTCTCACCTGGCAGGACAGTTCTGGAAATGCTGTGGGACCCTGTGGTGTGACTCTTTGTAGGGAGCAGTGCTACAAGTTAACGTGTTCCTCTGCCATGCTGGGGAAATAACCACAGGCTGATGGCGATCTCCTGAGGGACTGTCAGCATGTGGTTATGTGATGTGGCTCAGGGCAATGACAGCCAGGGATTTGTTAAACTAAGACAATAAATACGTAAATGACGACTGCTGTTGTGTTCCTGACTTAAATCAGGTCACAAAAAGGGGTTGGTAATGGTAGCACAAGGGAGAAGATAAAACAGCATCTGAGCCATGGGAGGGGGGAAAAAGGGAGTATGGGGAAGTCAGGATTTCTTCACTTTTGGCAACAGAGATTAGAACTGCTTTGCCTCCTTGTGCAATGCCATGTTGTGTTGGAAGTCTAGGCATCCTTGTGAGGTAATGGAGGTGGGGAGGCTTACAATGAAAATGCTCAGAATTATCCTCCAGAGGATCCATGGACTAGCTATAGCTAACTTGCATATTAGTTTTCCAAATTCAATGTCTAGAGTTAGGAAATGTGAATAGTGTCTTCAGCCATGTCAAATGAAAAGGGTCTTCTTAAACATCTAATTTAGATTAATAACTACTATTCTAAGTGTTTGACTTCATCTTTCAACAAGTGAAACTCACTGTTGGTAGATGTTGAGAAATTATTCTGAAAATATTCCAGATATCCATGTGCCTGCCTTTAGCCTGGTGCATATGAGGAAGACTTTTTTTCTTAATAAAACTGTGAAGAAATTACCTTGCTAGGTGATTAGATTGGTGCAAGATTAAACGATGGTTGGTGACAACAGAATGAAACTACAGTGCATTACTCT